ACGATCGTCGGAAAATTTTCAGGTTTTAACTTTCATTTTGAGTTAGAGTTTTCTAACGCGGGACATAATAAAGACAATGTTAACGAGCGTTAATCCATCACGAAAAACGCGATGTACACAAGTCAGACATGCGAGTAGTTGTTTATTTACTTACGCGGCGCGTGACAAGTTCCATTGAACAAAGACAGACGTCTCACGCGGTAACATTTTTTTCGCGTGAATTTTTAATAAAATTTTTATCTCTATCGTCACAATTTTCATAATTTTTGATTTTTCATTCACGCTTCGCGATTATTAATTTAATAGGTTTGCGAATTTTACCGGATCGTATTTGCGAAAGAGTCGCGAGCGAACTTCACAGAAATATTGCGGAGTTGTTATCCGCAAAAGCATTGCGGAATTGTTTTCGCAAAAGTATTGCGGAGCTGTTATCCGCAAAAATATTGCGGAATTGTTTTCGCAAAAATATTGCGAAGCTGTTACCCGCAAAAATATTGCGGAATTGTCTTCGCAAATGTATTGCGGAGCTGTTATCCGCAAAAATATTGCGGAATTGTTTTCGCAAAAATATTGCGAAGCTGTTACCCGCAAAAATATTGCGGAATTGTCTTCGCAAATGTATTGCGGAGCTGTTATCCGCAAAAATATTGCGGAATTGTTTTCGCAAAAATATTGCGAAGCTGTTACCCGCAAAAATATTGCGGAATTGTCTTCGCAAATGTATTGCGGAGCTGTTATCCGCAAAAATATTGCGGAATTGTCTTTGTAAAAGTATTGCGGAGCTGTATTGCAACCTACTACGCTGCACTATCGAAACGTCATATTAGGGATATTTCGCGTCGTACGTAAGAATCTCGCATACGCGTCGAAAGATTTCGCGAGATTGGCCTTCGATTTGTGTCGCGCGTTCCCTTTGTTCGCGGAGTCCGTTTTCTTCGTATACGATTCGCATCGCGCGTGTATCAAGGCGATACACTACAACTCGATTGAACCGAATTCGTCGTATGTACTCGTTATTTATCTGAAAGGCCGACATTTTTTCCAGAACGAAGTTTGCGATATTTCATATGCAATTCGAAACTCGGAATATTTCCAAGCGAGACGGGATTTTTCGCGAAATCTTCGTTAGACCGCGGTCGGGAGTGAACAGGCGACGTGGGATGCGAGGACCATTACAACGCCAGATGCAGTGACAGGATGATTGGGTGGACCCTGGACACCGTGGGACGACGCGCAATGGTGAGCGCCTAATATTTAGACGCTTATATAGTAGATAGCGTCACTTTACGTAGATTAGCATGCATGTAGACGTAAATCGCATTGAGTCCGACGTGAAGTAAAGTAAGAATTGGAATTTGCAATTCGCCGGAGTTACGTAAGAATGATCCAACCAAAAAATTTAGCTCTGAGATTTTCGCAATAGTTCAACGAAACAAGCATTTCCATTTCTTTAAGAGTACTGACTAGCTCAATCCTTAGAAAAATGTGCAAAAAGACGCGACTGGTAAAAAATAAAAAAAACTCTTTCTTAATTCATTTCAAACATCTATAAGGTTTGAATTTTTTTTTGTTTGGTTTAAAAAAATGTGAATGGAGTATCCATTGATAAAAGCTTATAATTTTTTTAATTGGATCATTCTTGCATAACAATAGCTAGTTGAAATTTCAACACGGCAAGCTTCCTTCTCGTCGGATTATTTCTTGATACTTTGAATTGATAATCAACATATATAATTTCAACATGTCATATTTATATTTATGTTATATATGCTTTTTTAATGCTTTATATATGCTCTTTTTATATGCTTTATGTATATTATATGATATTATTATACTTCATAACTTATTATGTCATTATATACGACATATTATCTCTTCGGAGATATTTTCTTATGTATACGCGTTTGTTATTAATAAGACGACAAATTAAACTTCGACAAACTAAAGACAACAAATGAAATTATTAAGCCGAGGCTCGAACCGAAATGTTTTGATTCCCCGCTAAATTATTAAGCTGAGATTCGGACGCGAGTGTTTTAAGATTCCGCTAAACCATTAAGCCGAGATTTGAATCGATATGTTATGAGGCTCTGCTAAATTATTAAGCCGAGATTTAACCGAAGCACTTTGTGTTTCCGCTAAATTATTAAGCCGAAATTCGAACCGATAAGTTTTGTATTTCCGCAAAATTATTAAACCAAGTTAGTTAAGCCTGGGACAATTTTTTAAAATTTCTTAACAAAATTTTCGCGCTTGCAAAGGTGTATTTTCGAAAATGACATGAAGTGTGTATATTTCGCTCTGCATCGTCTCTTAGATGACAATGTGTCTTAATGTCACTCTGCTCCTTCAGTAACACGCCTAGAATCTCGAAAATAATTTCTCAATATCCCAAAGTCGCGCCTATAACGTTAGATCTATCGTAGCAACATATTTGGATTCTCGCGCATACGCAGTTGTCCTATCCCGCCCATGGGCCGAAAGTCGGTCATGTAGCGTTAGCACATGTAGAGCACATTCTGAGATAGTTTTTAGGGTATTTTAAAGTAACATTTGCGCTTGAAAAGATGTATTTTCGAAAATTACGTCAGGTGTGTTCGTTCTGCATCGTCTTCTGGGTAATGTGTGCTTGTGTCACTCCACTCCCTCAGCAGCACGCCAAGAATCTTGAAAATAATTTGTCAATAGCCCAAGTTGATGTTCATAATGTTAGATCCAACTTAGCGTCATACGAATGTCGGATTCTCGCGCATTGCCTGAAAATCGATCATGTTACTGCAGGTTATGTAGATCATATAGTGTTAGCATCTAGAGCACATTCTAGGATAATATCTTACAGTTTTTTTAAGTAATTTTCGCGTTTGCGAAGATGTATTTTTGAAAATGACATGAAGTTTGACTATTTCGCTCTACATCATCTCCCGGATATACGTGGGATGCTCCGCTTAATTTTTGTACGTACTTTCATCATGCAAAAAGGTTTTTAATTTTGTCGAATCAGTACGAGATAGTAGTTTTGCAAAGGTATTCGGTATAACGTTAACGACATTTCCCAACAAATTTTACTTTGTGTTGACTTGATCAAATTAAGAATATTTTTGTATAGTAAAAGTACATGCATAAATGAAATAGGGCATTCCTGCCTCAAAGATGAAAACAATGTGGAACTATTGCTATCGTGATACTGATTTCATTTTTCAAAAATTACAGCGTGCTGACTGCTCCAATTTATATGATAAAATTACGTACGAAAATAAAGTGTAACATTGGTCAGTGCGAAATAAAAATGATATCTCAAATTATCGTTGCTAATTATATTGAAAACTCAAATAATAGGTAACGTATTTTTCAAAAAATTATTCGCAAATTACGCTTGCGTCTACAACAAAAGAGTTTTTCTCTAAAAACTCTTCCTTTAATGCACCCAGTACACAAACGGTTTGAAGAATTTATTAGAAAAGTAGCAAGAGCCTATTTTGGAAAGAATGCAAATATCGGCAACGTGGCATTCACATTTACATAACGTCTATGTGTAAGAAAATTGAAATGACAACGTAGCACACACACTTGCATAACGTCTGTGAAAAGATAGTAACGGTATTATGTTAGCGCCTATTTGATGATCGTTTTTATTCTATAAGTATCTATGTGTACATAAATTCGATATTGTCGGTAAATGATGATGACTTTTTTTACTTTTTGATGATCGCTCTACGTTATCGACGTTTATCAATTTCGTCGTTCGCTCCGGCATTTCCTTAAGATTAAAATACGATCTCAAGTGCGAAGTAAATTTATATACGAGGGTGGTCTGAAAAGTTTCCGACCTCAACGTGAAGATAGCAGCACTTGTAAATAAAAGCTAGTGAATTTCGTTGTTCATCTGTTGACAGTTACTCACCGAAGTTTCAGCCATTTTGGACTCGCAGTTGTTATGTAACAGTCGTTTGAGTAAGTTGATGTGAGTGTTTTTGTGAAAATGGACAAAATCGAGTATCGAGCTGTCATTAAATATTTGTTTTTGAAAGGCAATACGCCTACGCAAATCAAAGATGAGTTGGATTCTGTGTATGGGGACTCTGCACCATCATTTAC